CCCACATTGGGCTCCCTGTTCAGCAGGGAGTCTGCTTCTCCCTCTGACCCTACCCCCTCTCGTGCTCTCTCTCTCTCTAAAATAAATAAATAAATAAAAATTGTTTTGAGTCTGTAGGTTAATTTGGAAAATACTGCAATCTTAAATAATACTAAGTCTTCCAGTTCATGAGCACGGGATGTCTTTTCATTCATCTAGATCTTTAATTTCTTTCAGCACTTATGTGTTTTTTTGTGAGTTTTTGTTTTGTTTTTGCAAATTGCTTTTTTTTTTTACTTCATCTTAGAGAAGTGTGAAGATTTATGTTACACTTCACTTCATGTTTCATGTTACACTTCATGTTTCTTAATGGGTACATAATATTACAAGATATTGTAGCGTAAATTGTGAACCATTACCTCTGTAGGTTGTTTACACATTTTTCTTTTTCCAGTCCTACAAAGAACTATAGTGAATAAGTTTTTGCCCCTTTGCTACTATTTCCTTATATGATACTACTGTGGGTGAGATAGCTGAGTCAAGATCTGTGTATATTTTTAGTTCTATCTTTTTCTCCACCAATATATTACCAAAATACCTTTTCCTGCCCTGTTGCTGGGACTGGGTGTTACCTTAAATTTTTAATCTGTTAGATGAAAAATTGCATCTCATTTCTGTTTAATTTCTATTTATTTGACTGTTAGAGTTTTAATTAATATGTTAAATAGACCATATGTACTCCCCCCCATGTTTATAAGCTTTTCCCCATTCTATTTTTATAGTAAAAATTAACTCTTTAGCAACAACTTGTTTTTCACTGTTTGACAGTTGGGCATTTTAAAATTTGGGTTAGTCCATATCATAATTTTTTTGTCTTAAATATAGGTCTTCATTTCTATTATGTACTTACAGTATTATTCTCTTTTCCTAGGTTGTCCTTCAAAGGAGTATGGAACGAGTACAGTCCTTTTTTCTAAGAAATAAATGCCGTCTTCCTCTCAATCCAAGTCTTGTTGCAAAAGAATTAAATATTAAGGTGACATATACTAATAAGTTCATATTACACTTCAAAATAATTTATAGGGAAAAAATGTAGGAAGAAAGCAGATGGGCTGATATACTTAAGGCAAATGAGGATAACATCTGCATAGGTTGGTTATAAGTATTTTGGATGTCTGTGTAAGATCCATATTTACCTCAGTGTATATATATATTTTTAAAGGTTTTATTTATTTATTTGACAGAGACATAGCGAGAGAGGGAACACAAGCAGGGGGAGTGGGAGAGGGAGAAGCAGGCTTCCCGCCGAGCAGGGAGCCCAATGTGGGGCTCAATCCCAGGACCCTGGGACCATGACCTGAGCCGAAGGCAGACACTTAACGACTGAGCCACCCAGGGGCCCCTACCTCAGTATATTTTTGGTTAATCACCTTTCCTGAAAGAAAAAGCAATATAAAATTATTTGCTGTCTCAAAATAAATTATTTTTTACTATGGTATATTAGCTACCTTGTAGGCATATGTTGTAATTCCAGTCACTGATAGCATTTTCTTTTCCTCCCATGTGAATGGTCAGAAAGCCTCTTCCCAGGTTTATAACACTGTTTAGAGCCATCAAAAAGTAGTTGAATCATCAGCACTGAGTAATTATATTTCAAACTGGGCCAGTAGTTATACAAATAGTGGATTTTCTCTTAATGAATTCAGCAAAAGCAACCAATTAATTCATCCATTAGTGTTTGTGGTTTTGAAAGGCTAGGGTACAAGTATCCATAAAGGAGTCTTTGATTTGTTTTTAAGTTGATATATGGCTTCTCTTTACTGAAATTTAACAGTGGGTGCCTGAGTTGTATGTCATTGGCGGGGGCCAGGGGGTCACATTTTCTCTTTGGGTTTTGTTTGTTGTTTCCCTTAATTGGTCTATCTTAAATTAGTTTTTTTAACCAGTTTCATTTTAAAATAAGATTTGATCTTTGCTAATGAAATTTTTAAATTTAGTGTCACTATTTGATTGCATGGCTAATTATAAATTATAAGAGTACCAATATAGAAGAAAGCAGAGATCTCATCCCAGATCATACTGCTTTAGAGGAAAGATAAGAATATACAGAATTTTGTGCTCTGTTGAGGAATTAAGATGCTTTTAAAGCTCAAACTTTTAATAACTTTTGTCTCAAGTTTTTAAGGTTTTGCTTCTCATCTAGAGAGTAGTAGATATTTTACTTATGCTATGTTTAAGTTTCAAAAAGTATTTTTAAATACCTCTTGTTTGCTGGATGATCTAAAAAGCAGTTCACATGTATTATTGCATTTGCCACAGTTCAGAAGAACAAGTGAAAGGAGAAATGCTTAGGACAAAAAATCTTAAACCCGTTTTTATTCCAGTGTTATCTTTCTAATGCATAGCGTGTTGTATTTGTAGTCATGTTCCTTCTTCAGTTCTAATGCTGTGCCCCTAAAAGTGACAATGGTAAATGCTGATCCAATGGGGGAAGAAATTAACGTCATGTTTAAGGTGAGCAAAATAAGGTTACTTTGTTTTTATTTTTTGTTTTATTTTTTTTAAGATTTTATTTATTTGAGAGAGAGAGAGAGCACAAGTGGAAGGGAGGGGCAGAGGCAAAGGGAGAGGCAGACTCCCTGCTGAGCAGGGAGCCCAGTGCGGGTCCATTCTAGGACCCCAGGATCATGACCTGAGCTAAAGGCAGACACTTAACTGACTGAGCCACCCAAGCACCCCAAGGTTACTTTGTTTTTAAATGGTATTTTAAAAATTATTTTCTCAAATTCCTTTTCCAAATTGCAAATGTAGTTTTATTTAATATTTAATTAAATTGAATAATTATGTGAAAATTATTGCTCATATAAACTGTTCCCAGGAACAAATGCAACTCTGGGCTAGAGCTGCTACATATGGCCATGCTGGTTGAGCTACATATGGCCATCGTAACTTCAGCAGGCAGTGCCTTTCACACAGATTATGATGTGAATGGTACCCCCTAGAGTTGTGCAGCGTGAAACTGCAAAACCATGAGCAATGGTACTGGTTTTTGGAAACATATAACTTACCTATGGGAAGCAGTAGGAGTGGAATACTACAGAGTAATCTGTTACCAAAGTTCTGTGTGTTGTGATCATAATTTGTATATTTTTAAGAAAGAATGGAGAGTTTCAGTTAATTCAATGAGTTCAGTTAGTGCAGGCTCATATATGTGTGTGTGTGTGTATATATGTATGTATATATACATATAAATGATAGCTCAAGAGAAGCTATCTTTATGAATACATATAAATGTGTATATATGTAGGTATATTCTATATATGTGTGTGTGTATATATATATATAGCAAGTTCTCATAAATCTGGTTCTGGACTATATTTTACTGATGTATTTGCCTTTTCCTAAAACCATACCATCTGTTTGAATACAGAAATTTTTTTTTTTTTAAAGATTTTATTTATTTATTTGAGACAGAGAGAATGAGAGAGAGAGAGCACATGAGAGGGGGGAGGGTCAGAGGGAGAAGCAGGCTCCCTGCCGAGCAGGGAGCCCAATGCGGGACTCGATCCAGGGACTCCAGGATCATGACCTGAGCCGAAGGCAGTCGCTTAACCAACTGAGCCACCCAGGCACCCGAATACAGAAATTTTATATGTTAAGTTTTAATATTTGTTAGGGCTAATCTCCCTAATTTTTTTTTTTTGTAATTTTCTTGACTGGTCTCAAAAAATACATTCATCATTATGTGTTCTAAAGTTATTTTATCCAGTTTAAAAAAGAAAATGAAAAATTGATGTGATTCCAGTTAGAATTAATTCATTTTGGGAGGGTTAACTTTTTAAAAAAAATTTTTTTAAGTAAACTTTTAGAGATAATTGTAGATTCAGTCTGTTGTAAGAATTTATACAGAGATCCTAGGTATCTTTTTTTTTTTTTTTTAAGATTTTATTTATTTGACAGAGAGAGAGACAGTGAGAGAGGGAACACAAGCAGGGGGAGTGGGAGAGGGAGACGCAGGCTTCCCGCAGAGCAGGGAGCCCGATGCGGGGCTCAATCCCAGGACCCTGGGATCATGACCTGAGCCAAAGGCAGACGCTTAATGACTGAGCCACCCAGGCGCCCGATCCTAGGTATCCTTTACCCAGTTTCCCTCAATGTAACATCTTGCAAAACTATCATACAATATCACAATGAGGATACTGGCATTGATACAGTCAAGGTAAGGAATATTTTGATCATGACAAAGATCCTCCATTTGCCCTTTTAAAAAATTGAATATGATTCACATACCATAAAATCCAACCTTTTAAAAGGTGTATAGTTCAAGAAACTGAGACATGAAGAGGTGAAGTAATTTCCTCTGGAATGCTGTAGAAAAATTTCATCTCATTCTTCACTCTTTCTATCATTTCCCCTTCCTCCTGCCTTTTACAGTATGTAATGTATTAAGTCTTTTGGAAAGGTACAGGTTTCATTTTGTTTCCTTGATTTCAAGGTTGGTGAAGATCTTCGGCAAGATATGTTAGCTTTACAGATGATAAAAATTATGGACAAGATCTGGCTTAAAGAAGGACTAGATCTGAGGATGGTAATTTTCAAATGCCTGTCAACTGGTAGAGATCGAGGTAAGTCTCTCAGCTCTGTCTTGGTGTCTTATTATTTCTTTTCTATGAACTTAGCTCAGAGTATACCTGTCCTGAGGGAGTCCTGCTGCTGGCACACTATGATCTCAGTTGTTTCTTACTTTAATTTAGTGTTACTTTACTGATTTATTTGTTCACAATCAGAGAACTCATTGAGTAGCCCTAATAAATGCTTTGCAGTAACCAGAGGTTCCCATTGACTGACTGAACGAGGATTTTATGGTCTTTACCTTTTAATTTAAAATTAAGATGTCTAAGTTAAACCAATGTTGATTTCATTTCTGCAAAATAAAATAATGGTTTCAAAAATTTTTTCTACTTTAGCAGAGGCTTCATATTATTTTATTGAATAAGTTTTCTTCCTTACCACATATGTTTAGTGTGAATAGTAAAAGCCCTAGACACAGAAATATTGTGATAATTAAAAGATAATGAATGTAAAACACCCCAGTATGTGATATGTATTAGATGCTCAATAAATTGTAACCATTATCATTACTCTTATTCAACAAATGTTTGTTGTTGATCTACAATCTACAAAATGCTAATAACATGTAGTGTTTATATTTAGAGGGAAGCAATTAAAGACATATAAAGTAATTTGAAGATGCTTAATAAGCTAAAAGCTCTAAGAGAATTTTTAAAAGATAATTATTTATTCATCAGCGAGAGTGAGAGTGAGAGAGAAAGAGAGCACAAGCAGAGGGAGAAGCAGGCTCCTCACCGAGCAAGGAGCCCGATGTAGAACTCGATCCCAGGACCCTGGGATCATCATGACTTTAGCCGAAGGCAGACACTTAACCAACTGAGCCACCCAGGAGTCTCTAAGAGCTCTAAGAGAATTAACAAAGGCAGTGCCATGGGGTTTTAAAGGAGGGAAAGATCATTTATAGTTGGTGGAAATGAGAAATGCTTCTCAGATTCTAATCATAGACACTAGAAAGTCACCTGAAAAATTATCTAGTCATCCTTATAATATTTGCCATTCATTTTATGCTTAACTGCCTATACTGAAGGAAATTTACTGCATTTCAATGTAATCTTTTCTATCCTGGATAGCTCTGATGGCTGTAGAGTTTTTTCTTGATCAATGGGAACTGACTCCTAGTGTCTTCTACCCATCAGTTCCAGTTCTGTTAATAGACTTTCATATAATTCAGTCAAATCCTTCTTTGTGATGATGAATATTGTGGCCTCAGATCCTGAGTTCCAAATTCTTCAGCCATTTCTCATATATGACTTTAGATTACCTTATTATCTGATTATTCCCATTGTAAAGGGCTCAAGTGATCCAGTCTCTGAGAATGGCACCTGAATTTTGTAGAACGCAAAGTAGGCAAAGTGTTGCACACACAGAACTTACTCACAAATAAAACCATCATACTAGCTCCTGCTAAATCATGTCTTGGCCATTCTGTACTTGTACATTTTGTATCTTAGACCCAAGTATAGGACCTTACCTATTAACTTTCTTGTTATATTTGATCCATTATTTTTCAGCCTCTTGGATTCTTTTTAAAATCTGAGTTTTGTTATCTGTCATTGAACCTCTTAGTTTGTGTCGTGAACTGATTTGAAGAACATATATTCTGTAGCTTCTGCTAAGTCATTGAAAAAATATGTTTACTAAGAGAGGACCAAGGACTGGGGCGCCTGGGTGGCTCAGTTGGTTAAGTGGCTGCCTTCGGCTCAGGTCATGATCCCAGAGTCCCACATTGGGCTCCCTGTTCAGCAGGGAGTCTGCTTCTCCCTCTGACCCTACCCCCTCTCGTGCTCTCTCTCTCTCTAAAATAAATAAATAAATCTTTAAAAAAAAAAAAAAAAAGAGGACCAAGGACCAACCCTTGTGTCATGTCACTAGAGATGTGAGATTTCCTTTCAGGTGATTGCTAAATCTTTAGGTACATGGGTACTCATCTACTTCATTGTGTTATCAACTACTCCACATTTCTCCATTTTATCCATCAGGACAGTATGAGAGCCTTATCACTTTCCTGTCTCAGTTTAGCATGTATAAGCTTTATCTTGTCAAAAAGGAAATCAGGTCAATTTAAGAATTCTTGCTGGGAAAAAAGGATTCTTGTTGGTTGGGGATGCCTGGGTAGCTCAGTCGGTTGGGCCTCTGACTCCTGGTTTCTGCTCAGGTCATGATCTCAAGGGTTGTGGGATGGAGCCCCACATCAGGCTTTGCACTCAGCAGGGACTCTGCTTGAACATTCTCTCTCTCTGCCCCTCTCCCCACTCAACATGCATGCACTCTCTTGCTCTCTCTTTCTAAAATAAATAAACCTTAAGAATTCTTGCTGGTTAAAAAAATTCTTGCTGGTTGTTTTTCATATAAATCTTGTAAATGGAAGTTGTTTTATTAAGTAACATTTCCTCAGTGAGAGCCTGCCATTTCATTAGGTTGCCTTTTCTGTCACCACACTTACTTCATATAGTTGTACATCCTCTTTCTTCTTATGGCATTCCATGTAACTTTGGAAGCAATCAGATTCCGCTTGTTTTTTGTTGTTTCTAACTAATGGTTGAGTGCTTACTTTGTGTCTTGCCCTGGCCTAAGCTTTTCATTTGTGTTATCTCACAAGTATCCTTATTTTTCAAATGAAATCACATCCATGTCTTCTGTGAAGTTTTTACTAGTATTTCAGTGTTTCTAGTAATCCCTCACTTTTTCAGGCTCAATGATTGTCTTTAAGTATTCACCAGACATTTACTGGTGTATCTCCCCACCCCCCGCCCTGGATTGATTTTAAATTCCCTCAGGGTAGGGACCATATCTTACATAGCGAGTAGTATATTGTATATTTTATGAACTTTGGTCCACTGTTTTAGCACATAGTAATTTATATGTATGCATATTTGATTATGAAATTAAAACTTGTATGTATATTAAAAATTTGGTTAAACGTAGTCATAGAATCAAGGTACAGGTACTCATTGAAAAAGGATGTCACTATCAGGTAAAGGGCTAGTATCCAAAATCTATAAAGAACTCATCAAACTCAACACCCAAAGAACAAAGAATCCAATCAAGAAATGGGCAGAAGACACGAA